TGTGGAGCCTCGAAGTAAACATGCATAAATTATATTTATAGAAAAAAGGACCACAGAGCAAACAGCAAGAGCCCCAGAACTCCTTAATGAAAACACATTTAAATTCAAACTAAAAGGGGTTTCACTGAAGTTAGGTTTGAATTCCCTTTCGTCTGCTACACTAGAAGGCTTTGACTTGTTGCTATTGAGCTCAGGATTTTTTCAATTTACAAAACCAAAAAAAACGTGAAAAGAAAAACGTGTCCAAAAGTGAAAAGATTTGTCTTTCTCTTGCTTCATGTTAATTTTCACTGAGAAACAACACTTTCAGCCACATTAAACATTAAAATAATCTCTTCCCATCTCTTATGCTCTCCTCCTGTTGATGAATCTGCTGTGACTGTCACTCGCCCGCAGCCGTCCCCCCTCTCCCACTCTACATGTGAAGTTTGGTGTTTTTCCCTATTAAATCAGGATCATAGAGGTGCTGACAGAGGGACTGATACAAACTCGCCTAAAAATATACACACAGTCAAAGCAGAGCATGTTGCTGTATCGACAATGCTGAATCTACAGAACATTTCGGTTAGCTCCCTAAGTGGCTGATTAATTTATCGAAGAGTGAGAGTATATTTTCACAAACCAACAATTTGAAGTTTAAAAAATAGAAAAAATGTAAGGGCTAAAGTACAGCGAGCAGGTCATATGGAAATAAACCCTAAAAGGATTCTGCATGACTAAGACATTAAAGTTTGGGGAGCTCTGACTCACTTGCTATAGATTATCCTGTAAGTTTAATTCTTTATTTTAACAGGGACATTGCGCAGCCTATATTGGCTGTACCAGAGTTAGCTATAAGCTAATTTACATCTGTAGTTCCTAGAACAATTAGAAGATTAAACTTAACTTGTGATGATCTTGTTTTTAACTTGGTGAAAGCAACACACACCCTGCAGAGCTGAGACATGGTAAATGGGACATCACATACAGATGACCTATTTAGGTTTTCTACCCCATATCTCGCTGTGAGTTGACATCGCCTTTTTGTTCCCTTTACTTCAATTCTGTGTTCTTCAATTTTCTCCATTTCGATTGACAATCCATTCCTGATCGTCTTCCAGCTGATCATATGATCATCAGCACAACATGCGGATGAATTTGACCAAGATTTGTGATTAAAATAAGTGAAGAGAGTCAGTGGTGACTGTGAAAATGTGACACAGAAAGTCACCTTTAATTATGACTGTGAGCTTGAGTAGCAGCGAGTGTTTCTGTGAGTAGTTTGATTCACATATATTTAACTCTTCATCAGAGCCTGCCTGCGGCTTACCAGGGGAAAAAAAACGTGTCTGTGTGCATTTAGACACAAAGACCAAACATTTGTTTAACCTTTCTCATTATATCCTTATGTTGTAAGCATTGTGTTCATTGTGGCCTCATGTTCTCTGTTGTAGGTGGAGCAGGTCCTGAAGTCCATAAACAATTAATTCACTTTTGTCTAAGAACTCAAAAGGTTTGGTTGAATAAATATAATCTTTAATCACAACTGGGGTTCTTTAAATTTACATGTAAATTACGTCATACCAAATCCCTAAATCACATCAACTCTAGGTGTTACTGTTGATGGGTCACCTCTACAATAACTGCTTCATTCATTAAGATTAAACTTCACTTTACTAATGAGGCCTTCAATCCAGTTACTAATAATAGTTTCAGCAATCTGCCATTAACCCCATTAATCAGTTTGTTGTTCCCTCCATAACAATGTGGATTGACCTTATGTTGTTTAAAAGAGAATCCATCCATTCGGTCAAATAGCTTTACTTTCGTATATTTTTAAATTTCTTCTTTTGGAAAATGTCTTTTAAAGCCACTTTCATTGCAAAAATATGAATGAACATGATTGAAAAAAAACAAAGATACTAAACAACCTAGTCAGGAAAAAATATAAATGAAGGTATAAATTGGAGAAGATAAATCCTATGTTTCACTGAAAAGCGTTATTTCAAAGGCTCCTATGTGAATGTCATATTTGCCAAAAATCAACCCATCTATTTCTTACTCACAGGGAAGTAAATGATTATCAAGCATGAACGGTTAAGGGCTCTGTATTGTTGATAAGTCAGTTTGAGCATGTATTGTACCGAGGTCCAGAATTTATTGAGATTACTTGCTATTTTCATTGTAGTAATTGTGTTAATGTTTATCAGACAAAATTTAGAGTTTACTAAACTTAACCTTAAATACTGAAAAAACACCTCTTCATTGTTTTCTTATTACAATGTTAACATTCATTAGCAGAACACACATTTGCTCAGTTCAGTACACTGTATGTTAGTTGCAATGTCTTTGAGCTTGATTTGAATTTGTTATTTAAAAAATTTAATTAAATGTGCTGAGAAGTGTATTAACTCCGTTAAGCATTGTTCTCAAGTTAAAAAAAAATCACAAGAACCTGCACACTCTGCCTCCCTGTTAGCAAGCTAGGCTAATCTTGTTTTCTTAGCAACAGGAAAACTGAGAAACACTAGCAGGCTGTAATATAACTCGTATCTATGACAAGAAAACATTTCAGATGCAAGCCTGTGCAAGACTTTCTTTCATTAAGCGGCACAGAAGGTATAAACTGCAGGTTAAAGTAGGTGTGTTTGTCTTCTTGGTATAATACAGTCGTTAATTAAACGTTAGCTTGATACTCAAGTCACACTTTGGAGTAAGCACAAAACATCAGTTCTTAGATGTTCCATCCGCTGGCCTTCATGTTTGGGTTCCAAATAATTTTAAAGAATAAAGTATTTGGTTTGCCTACACTATTTTCTTTTTAACGTAACAGCTGTAATTTGACATGACCAGTATGACTAATGGCAAATGTAAGCTAATGTTACTTGCCTTGCTTAATGTTAAGCATGCCTTGCATTGCTGGTATGTGCTTGTTACTGACTTTGACACTTCTATGTGCATTATAGTGGCACACATTTAACTTTTTTGCATTAAAAGTCCCCTCCCACATGTTTATTCTCACCAAAATGGTCATTGATTAGCCCAAGTAAACCGGTCTAGTCTGGAAGTTGAGAATTTTCTAATCATGAAACAAACACATTTAGAGATAATGTAATACCCTTTTCTGTTCTTTTAATTCACAAAGCAGCTCCACACTGCAGCGAGTAGAGGAAAATACATCAGCCAAACATGAGCTGGGAACCATGCAGTCACGTATGGTAGGAACTGCTGGATGAGTCACACCAGCAGGATCCGCTCCCATGCATACCAAGAACATTAATGACATAAATTTAAATACTTTTTTTTCCCAAGAGCCACCGTTGGAAACCACATTATACATCAGTCTTTCTCAGGAAACATTTTGATTAATGCATAGAATGAGACATAGATAAACAATGTGTGAGGGTAGGTGGGTACCACAAGACTTAAGTTAATGGGTTTGTAAAAAAACAAGATGATTGTGACATCAGGGACTGTAGACAGCGAGTGTATCACAGCTTGTGAAATGTTCAATGTTGATGACATGCTATAATTTAAAATATGCTACCTACAGTGAAGAAAGATTTAAAACTGTTGGAGTGATAATATTTTAGACAGATGTTTGTATGTTTCTAGCAGGTTTCTATTGTATGTTCTGAAGTATTCTGAAATTTCCCTTTAAAGCAGAAAACAGAAATATCTGGCACGTCCTTCACTGAGAGCGGCAGGTCATAAATATATGTTATTAACTTTTCTTCTGATTACTTCTTCAATTCAGGGTTTAGTTAGTTTGTAATCATGAAGTATAGAGACATCCCCATGACAATCTTGTAAAGCACAAACAAATAACCTTAAATCTTTTCTTGATTCTTCCTAGTCAAAAACAAGAAAACAAAACAAAAACTAGTAAAATGTAAAAAAAATAACTGAAGTTTTTAATTCATTTTCACAATATCACAGATCAATCGACTGATCGATTGTTGCAACTCCAGCTACATTGTCTTCATATTTAAATTGTCTACATATCTTCATTGTCTTATTTTGAAATCTTAAAAAACACTGACATAAAAAACATGATTTGATTGAATGGCAAATAAAAACTATTTCAAGGACATTGCATGTGTCTCCGAATTTTCACATGATCTTGTTTTGATCTATGCTGTCTAATAAGAACATGTCAGCGTCATGGTTACAGTAAGAAGCACCCTGTTAGTGTTGTGAAACAGTCGTAGTTAAGCTAGGTTTAGTAAAAGGATCATGGTTTGGAGTCATTTAGTGTGGGTAAGGTTTCATATGGAAGTTACATCACTTCATTTAAGTGAACTAAGTCAAAACTCCAGTGAGGAACTTTTGGTTTGTAGAAATTTCAGCGCCCCCTGTGGACACAGCAGAACCTTCAATGTCTCTGTTGCTTTTGTCCTGTATATGTGTGAGCTGAGAATAAATCTCACCCCGCTTGATTTGAACAGTCAGATAAATCACTTATTGAGATTCCTTGCCATGTAAAAAGGAAAAAACTGTTTTGGCAGTATGCAGTTAATCATCTTGTCTGACACCTACCCCGTGGCAGTTATTTCTGATGTTTAAAAATCTTTATGCTTATTCTTGTTTGCTTTTGTAGGTCATATAGTTGCATCTATTTTATTTTCAGCCTGTTTCATAACCGGCTAAAACTCCTCACAGGAGCTTTAAATAAAATAAATACATTTACTTATAAAGGCAATTTGTGTATGTTTGACCTAAAGTTTTGTTTGGAATCTTGTTTGGTTCTCCTGGTTCAAAGTACCGCGTTTGTTTGACCCATCAATCCACCACAAACTCCTACGTGATATATTTTTCCTTTCTACAGTCACACTTAAAATAACAAAAGTATAAGATCAGTTAAGGAGCAAATGTCATGAAAAAGACATTGTAATAACACACAGAATGACTTCAGACATTACTCAAATACCATTAGGTGAGACCTGACTTAGACTTTACATCACGTTAATGTAAAACCAGGATTCTCATACAAACGACAGACAGAAGAGGCGTTGTCTTACCTTATGCCTGCACTTAAGCACCACTCCATACGCTCCTGGCCAGAGAAACAGAGGGAAAGACACACAAAGATCAATAACAGCGAGGCTGAGACGTGTGTTAAGTTTCGACATCTTAATTATGTTTTGACCTCCTAAACCTCGAACAAACATGTTCATAGAAAACAAGAGCAGTAGGTGAGAAGAACCAGAGGAACAGCTAATAGGTGAGGCAGAGACATGTGTACTCTCCCACACACTCAACAAACAGTTTAAGTCTAAACCTTTGACAACTCACACCACAATCACACATTAGCATACACACGCAGAGTCCCTGTAGGTTTCTTTCTTTGCTAAGCACATCGTGTTCTTGGTTCATCTATATTTAATAAATCATGACTTGAATTGACTGAAGATTAAAACTGTTCTATAATGAAAAAGGAAACTCTTTGAAGACACTGTATGCAGTGTCGTCAAAGTGTTTCCTCTTTATTCCACCAATATTTCTTTAATCTTCTTAGATTATTTAAAAAATAAATTAAATTAAAGCTCTAAAAAAGAAAATACAGCCATGCGTCCTTCTGTGTAGAGCTCTTAAATCTTCTCACATGGGTCCTAAAAATGTTGGTTGGGACATTTTGAAATGTACAAGTTCTTAAAACTTCAATGACAAGAAATTACCACCAGCAGGAAATTTGATGAACAGACTTCAGAGGGGAACAAATGTTTTTTTTTTCCAAAGACATTGTTAGGTGTTTCAATCTGTACTTTTTTATGGATTCTGGACTTCAGCATCAATCTAAGGTATTCCTCGTGTTTCTGGAAACACTGGTGCAAATGTCTCTTTGTATTTTAATCACTGACAAACTGTGAAATGTAGTGATGATATCCCTTTGTTAATGTCCTGTATTTATATGTCTTGTGCTTTTTTATAACGATATGAACCTATGGGTCTAAAATAAATGATAACGTAAAGTAAGTGAAGTAATACAGTAGTTTGTTCTGAAGTGAAACGTCTATGTGTTGCATGTAGAGTCATTCACTAGCTTAAAATACAGAATTTCTTTATAAATAATAAAGTTTTAAAGGTTGTAGCTAACAGTGATGACGTATATTTCCAGCAGAGTTCAATGATGCAGTTGATTGCACAAGATTTATCTGAAAGGTGCTTAGCAATAGCAAATAGTGTCTTTAAGTTAATGAACACTGCACTATCCCAAGTGCAGTAAACATCCTTAATCTTACAACATGACTGATGAGATCTGAACCATGATACAAACTGTTTTTGTTTAAACCAATCTGGTATGTTGTCTGTGTTATTGACTGCCTAAATATTTTTATACTTTTTGACATATCTGGAGAGCCTAAGGCCAATTTCCTCCTCTAGTGGACAGTAAAGATTTATTCTATTCTAACAACCAAGTCAAACGCTGTTGCTGGTGCTTTAAATCATCCGTCATTTAATCACATTTCTTTTCATATTTGGCTTTCTGACATCAAGAGCAGACGAGCTCTGATGTAGATCACAGTTAGGGAGTATTATCAACAGTACAATACACTCTGTCTTCTCACATTAGAATAAATCCACGATGGCATGTCAGCCCAACGCACGGAAATCAGCCACAAATGATGCAGCCGACTGAAAGAGGTAAATGTTGCATGGTTTGATGTGTGAAGGAGCTGTGTGTGTGTGTGTGTGTGTGTGTGTGTGTGTGTGTGTGTGTGTGTGTGTGTGTGTGTGTGTGTGTGTCGGACTTATTTGAAGCTTAAAATGTTGTCCTCATTTATCAAATTTTCTAGCCAGCCATCACTGTCACTAGTGCAAGAGTTGACCAATGTTTTATTCTTAAGTGAAACACACACACTTAGATATCAAAAAGTTGTCTGTGACAACATTGGAAGAAGTCAAATCAAATGCTATTGCTATCAAATAAAAAAAGGAATAGCTTGATGTTTGGTTATCTTCATAATTTTACTTAAACAAGTCTTTAAAACTAAGGTGTCGTTTATGTTATATTTGTCCCTGCCTACCAAAACAACCAGACTGATAGTACACCTTCAGAGGATACATTTTCTAACCTGCCACTGTAATAGTTACTTTGATTGGAGTATTTGGATCATAGAGAGGTCCTGATTTAAACTGAGCTTTACACTAAGCCTGTTTTTAGGTTGACTGAAAGTTAGGCTGAGACAGCAGCATGGCCGCTGACAGAGCCCCCTGACATAAAAGATGGCTGACTAATATTTACCATCTAAGGTAGAATGAGGTGCTCATGTGGGAAATCAAACATTGTATAAATTTCCTCAACACAAATGTAAAAAGTACTACAAAATCTAACTCATCACATTGTCCAGAGTTTATTTTTTTAACACATCTAATGTTTCATTTCACTTATCTATTCTGGTTGTTAATGCTGAGCTGTTTTTTGTAAGCCTGGTTTAGTTTCAGCCTAACTCAACACAAAAGAATACCGTTCTACCAGTTCTGCTTTTTGAGCTGCAGAAAAGCTGGTAACGTGAGAAAAGCAAACATTCAGGTTTTTTTTTTCCGTAAAAGGTAACTTAGCCATGCTTAGAAAAAAAATGTCTGAAGAGAAGAAACTAAAAATAAATAAGGAATCGAAAGAAATATGTATTTTATATCCGAGAAACTCAGCAAAATGGTGACTCTGACATGAACTTAGTGCTCTGTGAAGACATACCATGTTGAGAAAGCAGAGAAAAGAAGAGGATGTTTTGAGTTAGCATTACATGGGAGCTCATTGGTGAAATGAAGGCTACTTACTAGAGTATAATAAAATAATAATTATGAAGCAGGTGAATAAAGGAATAAAGACCTGTCATATAATAACAAACCAGTTTTAGATAAAGACTGCTTCTGTCTGCAGCTGAGGTAATTAAAGGACATGGTCACTACTTGAGAAAACATGGTAAAATAAAGCTGGAGTTTTTCTCTGAAAGGACAGCGTGACGGGTGTACATGCTTCCTTTTAAGAATGTCTCCAACCTGTAAGGCTCACTAACTTCTTTGAAATAACTCTGCAATGTGTCAGAAATGTTAAGGGATATTTATAAGTTAGTGATATAATCTGACCAATGTTCAGGTTTTAGCTTTACCATGTAAACTGTTTCTTTGGCTCCCAAATCCGCACAAAGAAACATATAAACTCATAAGGTTACCAATTGTACGTACACACGTTTTCCAAAAATGAATAATCTGCTGTGTTAAACCACCCACCTTCTCCCACAATGCCAAGGACTTCAAACTTATTCATCACATCACCGAGGGCGAGGGCTCCTCCTGCAGGTGAAATGAGCTGCTCTGGTTTTTAGCGAGGAGACTCCTGCTTTGACCAGCGTCTGAGGGAGTGAACTGTCGAGTCCAGGAGAAATGTGGTATTCATGTGAACACACCCCATTTTGACTTCGGCTTCTCTCTCCCTCACTCCGCAGATCTCCTCCAACCTTTAAATGTCAGTCTTTTATTTATGGATCGAGTTGTTCCAGTCGTGTCTGAATCCTCTTTATTACATGTCTTGAGGTTGTTTGTCTTGTACTTCTATCCAAACAAAGTCGTACCTGCATGACCAGAGAGGAAGAAGAGAAAACAAGGTGTTAGAACATGCAGTCAAAGGGTCACTCCAAGGTCCAAGTTCCCATCATTCCCTGCATGCTGGAGGTACTCCTGGCACAGATGGCGGCTAACTAGGACATGTAGATGTAAAGAAAAGGCAGCACTTCCTTGAGGATACGTTTAAATTATGTATGACTTATACATGACTTCCACACTCTCCTCCTTTCCCATCTATTCCTGTCAGCCACACACTCAACCTGGAGGAAGCTGCACAGGTGACAGTCCAGACTGAATGTATAATAGCTGGCAGCACTTCAGTATTAAACCATTCCTGCTTTGCAATGGTTTAACTAAGTGGTTTGACCACCTCTTTGGTTCAGACTGAAACATCTCAACTATAGATTGATGTTTTGTCATGACACTGTACAGATGATGGTGGTCCCTACAGGACAAAACCTACTTGTGGTGATACTCAGACAAATCCTGTAGCGGCACAATGTGACATTTTTGTTTTTCAGTGAAATATCTTGACAACTTGGATGGATAGCTGAATATGTGGTGCAGAAATTTATGGGCCAAAAAGCACCTTTGACTTCTCCCGGTCAAAGCTTTGATTATTCCTTTAAAGAATTGCAATGTCAGCTCAATATGCTGGCATAATTCTTGGCATCAGTATTCATGGTTCTGAGATTATGTCATCTATTTCTTTGACTCTTAGTCTTGTGAAGCCACCAAGTTTACTTTTATGTCTCAAAAACTAATGAATGAATACACATGACAATAACAAACATACCTTCATGTTTATCCACTTGATGAATAATAAAAGTGATTCATTACTTTAGCATATTCCTAAAATGTCTGAAAACCAGTGACTTCTTTGCAGCCTTCAGTTGGACTTTTCGGCAAATTAGCACATGTAATAATGTTAATATAGACTAAACTCAGACTGTGAACTAAGTAAACATGGCACTCTCTTAACATGAGCATGTAAGCCACTGATTTTAGCATTAAGCTCACATTGCACAGCTACAAGAATAGCAAAACGTATTGGATGGATGGCCATGAAATTTGGTCAGATCCATGTCTACATCAGGATGCATTGTAATTACTCTGGTGAACCTGACTTTAATACATTGCCAGCATCAGTAAAAATAAAAGGGTTTTAAATAAAGTAAATATACAGAGTAACCGTAGCTAAAATTATTATTCTTCCCCCAACTTTATAATTACCCAAAGCCCTCTTTTGCAACCACTTCAAAATGTTGAAATAATTTCAATTGTGTGCTGATTTTCTACATTCTCTCAGTTCAGAGTCTTTAACTGGATTTAAGGAACCCATTCTTTGCTTTTCCCACATTTTCAAAAAAAGCAAATTTTATATTTACTCAATAATAAAGTATTTTGTTCTAGAAAAAAACAACAATCATATCTAATGGCTCAGATCTCCTCCTGTCACTCGTCCAAAAAACCGACCACGATTATTAAATGCCTCTTTTGTAACGTGAACGTGATTGGAGTGAAACAATTAAAGCTTCTTACAGTACCAGTCCAACTTCGTTTGTATCACACTTGATTTATTCAGCAGAGCAAAAACACTTTAATGTTGATTTGGCTCATGTGCCTGTGTGGGCGTTTTCTTATGCAGTATACACTCCGCACAGCATAGTCCTTCCAGAGGAAGTGATAAGGTGGATGTTGAGGCCATCCATGGCTAGTCATTTAAGAATATGGTGCTGCTCTGGGAAGTGCTAACCTCTGTACCATATATTTTCTCTATAAGACACTTTAAGCCTGCAACTGGAGGCACCTAGGATGCATTTTAGTGTGTACTTAATGAACAAATGTTCCTTAAAAATGGACACAGCACAGGGTGGGTTAATTGATAAGCTGCTGCTTCTCCTTGCAGCCATCAGGCAGACAGCTGGTAAATGGAAACAAGGTGGACACATCACCAAGAAAGTGCTGAAAATATTGACAGAGCAGAAAGAAGCATCAATCCGCCTAACGCCTGTTGGTGTCTGCACGTTAAAAAAAAAAAAAAAAGGAACACCGTGATGAGTGAGTTTAGGAGTGTGAATTTAATGGGTAGCTGCGTGCGTCCGCGTGCACGAGACTAGTGTGTGTGTGCGTGTGTTTATGAGGTGTGAGAGAGAGAGGGGGAGAGAGAGAGAGAAGGGGAATAGTAATGCTGCTCTCTCTGCATCGAAACTGCGTCTCTCTCATCGCTGCGTTGCAAGAGCGCAACACCATTCCTTCGCTGTCCACGCGTTTCTCAGCCTACACAGCAACCAGTGCATACATTACAACGTAGTTCACGTACTATGTTCACGACAGTGTTGCACAACAAGATCCACAAATAGCGCTAACCTGTAACATCATAATTAGGCGTAATTAACGCATTTGATAGCACATACAAAGGATAAGAGAATAATTCATTGAATTGCACTGTCTTCATTGCAGCCTTCCTACCATTTAAACAATGAAGATCCTTTTACCTGCAGATGTGATGTGTCGCCTCAAGCTCAATATGTGAAGCGCAGAGCATCATGTCCATGAAGATGGTGATGTGGGAAGACGAAGAAACATCATGTGGAGCGGCAGGACGAGGGGGGGGGGAAGAAGCTCAGGCCTGTGTGTCGTGACTCGATCAGATTTCCTCCTCATTCAATCTGCCGACGGGGATGAGACCGAATCCGCAGGCATAACGCCGATGACGGGGTATCCATGAACCGTCAACAGTTCTTCTGAGGCTCCGTGTTCATAGCCTCAGCATCAGCTGGTTATAGCAGCAAAATCGTCATCCCTCTGAGCGACGCTGCGCACAGCCAATAGGAACACGGACGTCTCTGCGCGTCCCAGCAGTGATTTTTACATCCAGTAAGAGCTGTGATTGAACAAAACTTTTTTTCATTTAAACGGAAAAACAGATCATTATTTATTTAATATTAAATATGCCCGAAAATAATCACCCTCCTCCAATAATAAACAGACTTCCCAGTGTCAGATGACACATCCTGCTGTTGCTGCTGCTTCCCTCCTTTGGTCAGTTCATGTTGTGTCACTGATTAAAAAACCTTCCTGCAGCTCGTATCCACCCTCTCCCACCTTCACCTCCCCTTCATAACTGCACTAATTGGCCAAATCAGTGTGAATTCATAGACACTCGGTCTGTTTCTTAACTGAGCAGGTGTTGTAAAATATGTTGTACAGTATAGGCTGCAGCCACAGGGTTTTCAGGACACCATGTGTTCTTTGTTTGACCTGAAAGTCATTACAATAATCATGTTTTAGGCAGATAAGGCCTGCTTCACTTGTTTGTCTGTTTTTGGTATGCCTGACCTACAGCCAGTGGTGGAGGGTCATTTCTAATACCACAAATCAATACCCCATTACAAGTATGCTTAAGGTCTTGAGTCAATGTAACCAATAGGTGCTAAAGAACTGTGACTGAGGGAGCTTTGGAGGGTGGGTTATTAGTAGCAGGGGCTACATTTAAAGAAAAGGCACACAGTCATCATTGTCATCACTACCTATAACAGAGACTGCATTATGCTGAATGAATAACTGATATGAACACAAGTTGCACAACTAACTCAAGAGCCTACAGGCTTAAGAATTGATCAGAGTCAATATGTGCACACAAGTATTTAACACCAACTCCAAATATTCACGATCAAATTAAAGAAAGCAACGAAATTCACTTATGAGCCTCAGGACAGTCGACATAGTGCTGGACTTAATGTAAAAGAAGATTCATGACTGCTGCTCTGGAGGTAGCACTAGTAGCTGCTTGCAGGTTTCTTTCACTTCATGACTTAACTTACAGTATAAATGCAGCTCCTTCAGACAGTGCTCTTCTTCTCTATTGTCATTATCCTCAATGTGTGTCAGTGTAAAATCTCCACTGTGTTCGCGTCCTCAGAACCAGAATCTCTGATTGACAACAAACTCAAAAGTAATGTGGTCCTTAAACAAGAATAATAATTAGCATGAACTTGCTGTAGGCTATTTCACCGAATGATACGACACTTGTTGGAACTCCTTACTAGAAACAATAGCTAGAAACTACAAAAGTATGTGTTTTTGGATGTCCAACACATTTATTCAGACTCACAGCAACATCTGACCCACCAATCAAATCAGCAGGTCAGCAGCATCACCGACGTCACTTTATCTTATAATTACAAGCCTACATTAAAAATATGATTAGGCTATAAGTCATATCACAAGTCATTATCACAAGTTGCAAATATAATGGCACAGTGAAGCCTTAATAATCACTCATGTGAGGTATGACTCTCAGGTTTGGAGTGACATTTGATTTTGTTAGAGCCTATTTTATATTTAACATTTAGTCACACTCATTGACCAAAGAAAGGTTCACCTGACATGTCATACCACATTTTGAAGTAATTTTTGGAGGCTATGTGGGGATTTACATGTGGCAGTTTGAATAGTGTTTGTAACCTGTGGGTTTCTTAATTTTAAGCTTCATATGGGATCTTTTCAAAAGTTGTATTTCATCCCTTTCACTTCTTATCTGTTTGAACAGAGAAACTTAACTTGATTATTTCTGTCATTCTGCTTTATTTACTACCCTACGTGTTAAAAGCCCACACTGCCCTACTTTCTCCTCTACATTACACTCTGGTGATAGATTATTTAGCCTATTTATTTATTTATTTTGCAAGTGTTTTGAATAAAGAAATTATGAGTTGATTAACTCAGAACATAATGAATAAGCAAAACATACAGCACACATTTACAACTGCTTAATTTCCTGGTATGGCACATATAGTAAGTTATGACACCTTGCCTGCATCAAATTATTCAGTAGTTAAAATCCAGAAAAAAGTTACATATAGGTTAAGTTAAATGTATTAGGACCTGTAGTGTCAAAGTGATTTACCTAAGAGGGACCATTCTGCATCTTACTTTTATATCGGTATAATTCTCTGACTCTATTTCTATACTTTGATTCAGAAAAAAGTCTGAATGCAAAACACTTCTTTCAGGCCTATTAATATAAACATAAAATATGTTTTTGGTAGGCTACTTCTTCCAATGTTAATCTTCAATCGATATTTATCTCCAAAAGTGTAGCCTATTTTTTCTTAAGTTGGCTCGTGAATAGTTTTATTAAAACAATCAATTAAGCTCGTGAGTTTTATAAACTGTTTCCATATTTCTCTTCATTAGCAGCCACGCACATAACGTGCCCCATCCATAAGGCTGTACCATAGACTGTGTACCTGCAGTTATTTCTCCTCTCTCGTTTCCATCACCTTTCTGCTGCAGGGACACCGTAAACTACAACACTTTGAAATTTCGTTCCCTCTCCACGTGCAGTTTATTATTCAAGCCTAATATGTAACGTTATCTTTCTTAATGACGCGACTTATTCATTATTTCCCTCCTCTGTCTTGTCTCTTTTTTTTTTTTTCTCTAACTACCAGTGGAAAAATGTGAATTACAGCACTGCGTGGTGGACATGCGCGAAGCTGCAGCGAATATGGCGGCTTGCATCTGTTAGAAAGTGGAATCTCCCCTCAAAATACGCTACTCAGACGGTGGGTACGGCTCATGTCTCATTCTTTCTCTCATGAATGGCTTCTCTCTCTTGTTTGTTTCCTGGTTTGTGATGAAAGCGTGCAGTTGTTCTCCTGCTGCTTGTCCCCGCAGTGGCAGACAGCAGTGTGTTTACTGTTATGCTGTGCAGGCGGAAAGCTCGTTGGTACAGTGTAGCGACATTGAACTGTGCAGATTTCCCTTCGCTTTCTGTTTACTGGCTTCCTGCTGGAAATACATGCAACTAAATACACGTTTGGCTCGTGAAGCCTTGTAGTATCACACCCGTTTGAGAAAACATAAAGGTTAGCAATGTGTAGCCTGTGTAATGATCACCGTCCCGCCCACTAAATGTGACCATAAAGCAAATGAAAATGCGTCACAGACTTTTCTGCAAATTAAATGTCGATCCTCGCTCATTCAGACATGAAACATCCGAACATTAAACCTGCAAATGAAAGAATATTTATTAATTTTATGAACTACACATGCAACCTTATTTTACAGATGCATGATGCAACTTCACTTGAGCGTTAGGTGTCAAGAAAACTAAATAGGTCTAGATGACAAATGCTCTCAATAAAAGTTGTGGTTTGGATATGTAACCTGTCAGTGACCACCCTGGAGGTGACGCCCTGCAGCGGCTCACACCCTGCAGCCTCCAGCAGTAATGTGATCCTTCACTGTCCTCAATCCAAACTGAGAAAACACCAGGCTGTGAGGAGGGTCTTCAATCTGGATTAAAGGGTTGGTCTTTATTACTTAAGTAAAAAAGAAGGCATGTTTCTCTTCTAGTCCAAAAGAAAGGTGCAACATGCAGGGAAAAGACCAAAAAAAAAACTCTCCTTTTCTTCCTGATTTCAATTTACTGAAAGTATAGAAGATTGATCAGAGGTGAAAAGACAGAAGAAAAATCTGGATTATTTGAACCATCAGTTCAGTTATTTATCAGATATCCGTCACAAAAGTGTCCAGCTTTTAAAATTAGAGGGTCTTTTTTTCTTTATGTTATTATGATTTTTATCAGTGGGAGGCTTTTGTCATTTTCAACAAAGCTTTGGAGTTATTATCAGTATTTAAGGGCGAGGGCTGGTGTGTTGTTGCAACTGACTGCTGTTTTCTATAGGCTATTACCTTATTATTCATTTGACTACTGATTTGCTGCTTTCAAACTGAATATATTCAGTATTTGAACTGATACGTTTTAAAATAAGCATTCTGAACTTGAATTCAGTTTTTTTTATATATTTAATTTGAGCCCTGATGATAAATATAACATATCTAAAGTGTTTCAGGACAGCACACCAACATCTTAAATTTCCACTTTGTTTATTGCAGCAGACGCTCAGGCAAAGCCCCCTCTCTGAAATTAAGGGATGCATGTACAAAACTATTACAGGAAACTATTACATTGTCTTATGAATGCTTTTCTGCGTGGAAATGAAAAACATCTATATTTCATTGCAAAAAACATAATTGAAAGAAGAAACCTTTAAAAAATATCAATTTGTCATTGATAAAACAGAAATGAATAAATAGCTCATTTTAAACCGGTCGTCCTTGAAGTCATTGATCCAGTCCAGTTTCAGCTTTGCATTCTGAATGTTTGAGATGATCTGCTTTTCTGACATTATATTTACTTGTAAATGTTGGTTTTAGCCAACAAGCCTCTGCTCTGGAAACATGTGACAGCAGTTAACAAAAAAAACCTGACATTCATCATTATAATGGCAAATTACACCTGTGATATTGTTTTTGCATTGCACTTGTTATACAGGAAATTCAGCTTCAAGTGTTGAGTGCTTCACACAAAATGAGATGAATGAACCAAAACAAGTCCATGTGGTCAAAGTCATTGATTCATTATTGACCTGGTAATCGATTTAAGCATTTGTTATTTTACTCATATTCATTTAAAATACGTTACAATAACGAGCCTCTGTTTCATTAAATCTTTTATGTAACTTTATGTTCTAATTATAATTAGACTCTGTTCACTAACGTAATATAATAATAATAATAATAATAATATTACAAGTGGCAAAAATCAAAAAGGGAAGTCCAAATATATCAATTAAATCACTGTGTTCAAATGTTGCATCAATATAATAAAAGTCTTTGAGTAAAATTTAAAAACTATTTGTTCCACGAGTTTAAAAAAACTCCTCCTGTCAGGTAAGAAGTTACAACCTGAGAGCAGGTCTCAGGTCATTTTTCTGAACTCTGGTCTGTTCTGGTTGGTGAACATTACTCTAATCCCACATAAGTGGAAAGGGGGGTTGTTAAAAGTAAGTGTTTCCTGGTCTGACTGGGTTTTTGTCTGACCCTCTTGAGTGGGGCAGACAGAGCAGAGCAAACACTGAAGCAGTCTGGATCAGAGCGAGGAGCAGAGCTGGAATCCTTTTCATGTCGGCCAGCAGACGTCCCACATCCACACGTCGTAATGGCTTTTTATGGCAGCTTGGAATCTTTATGGCTTCTTCGGACTCAATGGGATTCGCTGCAGATACAGAGGGGTTGGGGGGAAGTGTGTGTGGGGGCAGCCACAATACAGTGCAGATGGTAAAATCTTTCAACACAAGGGAGGAAGACGTTGTCTGGCTTCCAGAGACATGTTAACCTTTACATTTTTGGATAAAAAGAAAAATCTTGGATTCATTGACCTCTTGGTTTCGAGCCGGCCCTCTGATCAGATTTTGCAGAATGATGACAGGATGATGCACAGAGTTTTTGTAACCCTGGATGCCTGGTCCTTCAGCATGAACAGTTTGGTAACAGTTTTATTGTATTTATATGTTAGAGTGACTCAGGAGAAAATGTTTATAGTGTGGCAAAATTGATAACTTTTATTTATTCTGAATTGTATTCATTTAAGAAGGATTAATAGAGGTAGAGGTTTTTAAACTTGGATCTTATTCACATGGCACCAAATGGCACATGGTATTTTGTTTCTTGAGAATGCTAGTACAGATAACATATCAGAGGATTATAGTGTGTACCCAAAAAACAATTCATTCTGTAGCATTTGGACATTTCACAGAACAAATCTCATGAATAAAACTAAATAATCACATTTGAGATCCTTTTACGACATCAGACCTTCCTACCCACTCTGCAGCGCTGTGTGTGAGCCATATGGTCATACCGCAGGCAGACGCTCTTTACTTTCCATAAATAAACAGCTCCACTTACAAAAAAAACACACTGTAGTTAGTAACAAATGTACCGGAAAAGGACTAAAACATTGAGGATAATTTTCAGACTTTATCTTTGCAACAAAAATATTTCACTTCATGAAGAAATAACTTGTATAGCAGGACAAGTGTAATGGCAACTTTCTATAGCAAATATAGAGTGCTTTTCATAAGACAGAAACTGCATCAAAAAAAAGATATAAAAGAAACACAAGGCAACATATACAACAATTTATTAACTAGAGTTTAGAAAGAAGTAAATACATATTAACACAAATTTAAGATTATCCCAGCCGCACAGCGGGGTGCGATATGACAACAAGTATTCCCACTTCTTGCTCTAAGATGATTCAGTGTGAAAAAGATTTTTTTTTAAGCCTTCATTTAAAAGAATGGATATTTTGAGCAGACCTCCAGTCTTCTTTAAGTTTGATTCATCACATGTGGAGCTTAAAAAATCAAGTGCTTCTTCTCTGTCTTTAGCTCTGACTCTTATAGTATGAAGATCAACTTTATTAACCTGTTAGATCGACAGGTTTCGGCTTGTGGCCTCCATTAGGGCCTCAAGACCTTGATGAAGGCTGCGTTTCTGATGTAGGCCACAAGACGAAACATGTCGATCTAATTTGTTAATAAAGTTGATCTTCATACTGTGAGTGTTGCTGGAGCTTTTTGACCTCTTCCAAGCCTTTCACTCTTCATGCACCTTGGAAGTTGTTCACTTCACGTTGTGCCAGAAAATCCTGCTCTGCTTCTTCAGCTCTGACTCTGGCATCATTCAGTGGACGTATCCTACTCTCTCTGAGAGGTCTGCATCATTAATAATTACCTGAAACCACTTAGTGCTTTACAAACAGTTAAGTGTTTTAAAATCAATTATCTCACTCACTGGAAGTCAGTTTAAAGAGCAGGAATGATGTTATCCCTTTTCTTAGTGTTCGTGGTTGTGTGTATAAGTTTGTAATCTTGGATTTGTTGTGATTATTTTGATCAAAAAAAGAATCCCAACATGTAGTTTTTTTAATTCCTTGTGGATTTTTCTTTTTAAATTTCTTGTATGGTTTGTGTCTCCTCTCCAGTGTCTGTGCAGATAAAATCCTTCCTGACTTCACCTCTTCTGCAGCAGCAAGTTGAACTCTTGTCATCATGGGTCGTACACCACACAGAGGTACACCTTCACAACACGGTTTCCCTGGGTGCTGCTCTGTCTCAATTTGATGACAAAAGAGCTACCTTAGAGCGGTTGTAATAGCTTGTTTTTATGCGGCCGTTCACACAGTAATTACAGTGTGTGTGTCAGTAGCTACTAGATCCTGATGAGCCGTTCAATCATCTTTTGATTTCAGATCAAAAAGAGGAGAAGGAGAGACCGAGCAGCATCACAGCAGGCTCTGCCCTCGACAAAGCCAACGGTTGGCAGCTCTGATCTCTGTCTTCATTGTTGATCCTTTTGTTATTTGCTGTATCTAAATCTTTCAGTCAATAGCTTTTCTTATTCAGCTATGATCAGAATCATATTGAATTGGCATTCTCTTTTGTCCTTTATTAATTTTTGCATCCAAATGTAGATATATATATATATATATATATATATATATATATATATATGTTTTAATTGTATTATTTACTTACAATAAATAAGTAATAAACAATCCAATAAAATATCAAATGAAAAAACCCAAACATCATGAGCAGAGCTGATCACAGCAGGGTTTAACCAGAACACAATCCCTTGAATCTGCAGGAAAGTTATTTTCTATGTGGTGAATAAACTTTCATTCACTTCAGCAGTGAAAGTAAGTTCAGGGTTTCTCTTTTATTGTGTTTTTTTCACTAACCGTCCTATGACAGTGATTCAGAAGTCAGTAGTTTCTTTCTGTTTTTTGTTGTTGCTAGAACCGTTCAGTTGGGAGGACTATTTAAGAGAAACGTCCTCCATCGCAGCATCGCCTGCATGCTTCAAACAGGTAACTGATCATCATGACTCCTTTATAGACTCTCTCATTTCCCTTAAAGGTCACATATTATGTTTAAATAAGTCTCAGAGCTCCCCAAAACATGTCTGTGAAGTTTCTTGCCAAAAAGGCAATGTGATCTATTTTTCTTGTTTTTTACTCCGTCAATAGTAACAAAGTGGCCCAGACAGACGTGAAAGGCTAAATCTGAGGAGAAACGCACCAATCCACCTGTAGTTTTGGTTTCTTCATTAGGTTTGATTAGACATAACAAAACAATGAAACTAAATTCCCAGTGTGTACAGTACTCTAACTCTTAAGATTTAAAAAGCCCTTTTAGACAGAGAACCAGATAATTATCCGATCTGAGTCCGGTGCTCTGTTCAAACTGTCATAACCTGAACCTCTCATGACAATTTAACAATACAATATTTAATATTTAACCATGCTGGTTTGTTAGAAGTTTATGGGTATATCGTGTATCATGGGGTACACATCATGGGGTAAGTGAACGTCCCTTTTTGTCCCTATGCAGTCCAGAGTCCCCCCCTCCAACGACTTCAAAGCCGGAATGAAACTTGAAGCTCGGGACCCTCGAAACTCTCACTCTGTGTGCATCGCAACCGTGATGGGCATGATGGGTACGCGTCTACGCCTGCGACTGGACGGCAGCGACAACACCAACGACTTCTGGAGGCTGATCGACTCGTTAGAAATCCAACCAATAGGAACCTGTGAGAGGAACGGAGACATGCTGCAGCCACCGCTTGGTGAGTGTGAGGAGGACCAAACTTACCTGCTCTGTCTTTGCAAAGCATCACACATGGCAAGAGAGAAACCTTCCTGTAACTGTAGATGTACAGAGCAGTCTTAATCAGTTTTGTTTAAGAGCTTTCTCTGCCTTCCATGGACACGTCCACTAGGAGACAAGACAGTCAAGTTTATTTAAGTGCAATAAATCCGCTTAACATCCTGTTAAGACACATATCATTTCTGTTTTATAGGGAAACCCATGAATGCCTCATAAAACATTTATTGTATAATCAAACAAAGTAACACTTTAGGAAAAGCATAAAAATATTTATTACCCTGAACATGAAACTTTTACTCTTTGAAATTAAACTCTCCAATTCCAAAAATGATTTTATAGATTGCTTCCAGTGAACCACAATAGGCCTGTATTTAAAAAATATATATGTACAGTCAATGTCAAAAGACAGATATTTTCTGTTTCTGTTTTGATTAAAGAAACCATTTTAATCTCTGATTAAATCTCAACAATTAAAAGTCTGCTGTAGCACTGACAGCTGTTTCACCATTTTAAAGTAATAAATATAATATATAATAATAAATTAGCTTCTTTAGAAGAATACCCCAAAAATATCAAACCAAACCAAAGAACTTGTAAGTTTAAAACTAATGGAAAAAATAATCTCTCATGTTTATGCTTTGACATGAGACGGTTCTGCTTGTTGAGTTACACCATTAACATGCGAAAAAAAGTAGTGAAAAGAGTTTGACCACCAAACTTAATAGTGCCTATAACCCCCATAAAGTTGTCATGCATTGTGTTGTATTTTGACCCGTGTTGTGTTGTGTTGTGTTGTTATGTGTTCAGGTTTCAGGATGAACGCCTCCTCGTGGCCCATGTTCCTCCTGCGCACTCTGAGTGGAGCAGAGATGGCCCCCGCCTCTGCTTTTAAAAAGGTAATAAATGACAACGGGAAGAAGCTGCTGAAGACAAACACGGACATTACTATTTTCCTTTTTTTTTTTTGCAGATAAAACAACTGTCAGAGTTAGTTGGTGTGATGCCTAAAAAATATGACTTAAAGTAATCAGTTCTCCTTGTTTCAACTGGAGCGTGAAAGGACATGTGGTACATGGGGGCTGACTTTATAAAAGCAGTGAACACAGTTTGTATTAGAAAATAATAATTGTCTTTTAGTCTCTAAATATTATAAATACAACTTACGTTTTGATTAAAAATTATGAAATACTGTTATTTAGTTGTTTTTCCCTCACTGTTATAACTGCAGTAATCAGTTTAGACACAAGGGGGAGAAATGTGTCATTTGCATTCTGCAACAGACAACCTTGTGCTAATAAAAAGTTAGAGAATTTATCAAAGCAGCTCTTCATATAAAACAGTCTGTCTCAAAAATAAAAAAATAATTAAGATTGTGTTTAGTTATCAGTTCTACTAGATTTCTTCCTTTTCTTAATAAGTGCCCTTTCTTTTTCATTGTGGAGGACTATACGTTCTTAGGAGTGTTAAACTGTACTGGGCCAAGTATACTGACGTCTTGTACAAGAAGGGCCTGAGCCGCCTCTACTCCCCTCAGAGGCTGAGGTTCTTTAATATCTGCAGGACGATGCTGAGGGTGTTCTATGTGTATGTCAGGACCATTACTGACCTGTTTGCTGTTGTATGCCAGGGCAGCAGACTGAGAGTAGGGATCCCCAACAAACTCAACAAACTGATCTGCAAAGCCACTGATGTTGTGGATGTTGTGTGCGGTGGGGGTTGAGGCAGACTATCTGACGGTGGTGTCAGGGAAGGAGGATTCACTCCAAGTTACACCTCTACTTGGACAATGTCACCCTCCTACTCCACGACGAGCTGCTTAAACACAGGAGCACATTCAGCGCAAGACTCATTCCCCCACGATGCCCCACTGAACATCACAGAAAGTCATTTCTGCATGTGGCCACCAAACCTTCAACTTCCCCCTCTGAGGGTTGGACACACTGTCTAGCCTTGGACACTCTTTATTTGTCCTCTTCATTTATTATTCATTTCTATTGTTCATCTAACTGGAAAGTTGCATGTGCAACAATTAAACTGCCCAATACAATAACTTAAACGGATATATTTCTTAATTGACTCTTATTTCTTCATATTCATGTTCTCTGTAAGAGACACTGGAGTGCCCAGATGTTCCCCTGGATGAAATAAAGTGTGTCTGATTCTGATCATTTGCATGATACTGGTACCTGTTTAACTTTGTTGAACTGCTGGTAATCTATAATCTGAATGACCTGTTTATGTGTTTGTGTGTGTATGTTCAGGAACCAGCCAGTCCTGTTAAAAACTACTTCCAGCCTGGAATGAAGCTGGAGGCGGTGGACAGGAAGAACCCCTATCTGATTTGTCCAGCCACAGTGGGAGAGGTCAGAGGTCAGGAGATTTTCGTAATGTTTGACGGCTGGCGAGGCGCCTTCGACTACTGGTGCCCCTTCGACTCAAGAGACATCTTCCCCGTGGGCTGGTGTGCTCTGTCAAAACACAGCTTACAGCTGCCCGGAAACTTCTGTAAGTGATGCTTTTAGTATTTCTTTCTTTTCCTGCACGGTGTGGATTTCAGCTGAAGAATTCTCACTGACACCTTATCCTATCATTGAATTATATTTAGCATCAACATTGCGCATACATTTTAATCACAAAGAGGACGCATTTAATATATATTAGAGCTGTAACTTCATTGTTCAACATTAAAGTGCTGTTTACGGTTCTCTCAGATCTCTGAATAACGTTCTCATTATTCACCACTAGAGGGCAGCAGATCCCAAACTCTGATGTATCCTCTACCTTAGCTGTGTTGTGGCATCTCCTGCATTAATGTGGGGTTGACTTAAAATACTGTGTATTTACTATATATTTATCTAGAGTATTTTTTATGTAATATATATATATATATATATATATATATATATATATATATTACATAAAGGATGGACGTAATGCATTATGCATTAGCACTGAAGTAAAGAACAAGCAACACTAAAGGTAGCATAGTGCATTTCTGAAGGCCTGTTCTGTCCAAATTTAGCAAAACCATTTCAGCTCGTCTGTGAGACCAAAGAGGACATGTACAGGATACTAGTGAATAAATAAAGGAAGTCCTTTCTGAGATGCTACCTGGTCTCGCTAAAGAGAGCTCTCTACATTTGGTGAAGTTATGTGAAGAATCTGTTTTGATTGTGATGGATTGACGTCACCTACTGTATCATCGAGGGAAGAAGTAAAACCATGCAGTACATTATCTGAGCAGCACCTTTTTAGTAAAAGGTTTTAAATCATATCAGTCACCTGAATAGTTTTTCATTAATAAAGATGCAGCTTCTTATCAGACAGGAAGTGATGAAGAGGAAGTGATGAAAAGGGCTTTTAAAAAAGCTGTTATATAAAATCTCACGTTGATATCAAACCGGAAACATTTTTATTCAGTGTGATGTGACTATCACACTGAAGAAAAACTGACTGAGCAGAACACCAGAACAATGTCACTTTTTTATAAAATGAATCTCAGAACAATCAGCTTTTAAACATCTAAATGTCTTGATCTTAAACCATGGACCATTAAATAAAAGTGAATCTTATTTGAGCAGACATCGGTAGCATGATAAAAAGAACAGGGGACTAATAAATGGTACGAAATGATAAATCTGCAAAACAAAGATTATGAAATACACAGAAAGCAATGTGAATTTAAAAAATGTTGGATATGTTTGAAGTTGAAATCTTACAGAAGGAAAATCAGTCAAAGATTTCAAAGATTATATTTTTAGAAAGATGAATTACGAGCTGTCATTATTGAAGACTAGTAAAGTATGAAGACAAAGTCAGAGTGGGTGGTACATTGTTAAAATAAGTTTAAGCCTCTCTTTTTTTTTTTTTTTACTGTAAATGGATAAATGCATAAAGATCATCACATTTAAGGTTATATTAATATATAAATGTAGCACTGACTTTTACTGTTTACATTTGTTCATAAAGAAGTTGGATTTATATTTAATTTGTTCAGTCTGTTTAAAATAAGTAAATTCTCTTCACAGTTTATTGTGAAATTTGGCAATTAAAAAAAATCCTGCGTTTAAATGTAAAAAGAAAAACTGGGATGAAGATATATATTCTGTGTGAAGCAGTACAGAGCTATTAATTATTAATCAGGGAGTGATTATACAGTAGGTAAACTCAACACTTACAGGAGATTGTCACCATGTGATTTGCACTAATGCTGAAGCTTAATGTTCACAGTTTACTGTTAAGTGTCTTTGGCAGATATTCAGACATTTGTAATCCATCAAAAATCACTTTGACTAATGGCTCTGGAGTTCAGCAGTTTATTCTGAGATTTTTGGTTTCTCAAGTTTATAAATATCAGTCATCCTGTTGGTGTTACTTTACATTGGCTGTAATCCAGCAGTTTTCTCCTCTCTGCCCTGTGGTTAGTGCCTGACCGTGTGTCATGTGGATTTGAATAACCAGGACCAACAACCTTCTTGATGAATGTGAAGTGTGTGTGTGTGTGCGTATTTGTTTTCCCTTCACTTTGTTGATGGATGACAGCAGTTTCATGTCGGAGCATGTTTTCTGTCCTGTGGCAGTGAGGCAGTCAAGTTTACAGCCTATATCCAGTGTTTATGTTTGGATGCAAAGAAAGATGTTAAGATAAGCTTTCCATACGAGACTGCAAAGTTAAAAAATGTATTCTTTGTTGATGTCTTAGAAGAATAACTGTGGATGCATGGAACATTTACAAGGTGATATCTCAGTATCAATGTATAACAGGGTCCTAAGACGCTAACTAGACTCTCGAACTTCCAAACTCCATTCGATATGCAGAGTCCCTTTGCACCTTTAAGAAAAAGCTAAAGCTCTTTCATGAATACCTACGTCCTTAGTGATGATGATGGTTTCGATATTATCGATGATGATGATAGTAATGACGATGGTTTGTTTGATAATGACGATTTTAAGATTGTTTCTATACTGATTAGCTCTCTCAAGTAATGCCGTCAATGTTGTGCTTTGATTCTCTGCAATGCCTGTCAGCACCTGTGTGTCCAATCAGATTCAAAGCTGATCGTTTGCACTTACTGACATTATTTCCTCTTTTCTAGATCCTTGCTTGTGTTGATCTTACTCTCTGATGTATGTCGCTTTGGATAAAAGAGTCTGCTAAGTGAATTGTAGAATTGTAGAATATCTTTGATTAAGTTTACCAGACGCCAGTTCCATAAGCCCCTCATGCATTGCCAGTTTAAGGCACACATGTTACACCTTGCCTGCAATATGTAACACAGTGAGGCGGAATTATGGGGCGAAGTCGTTCCAACCCTCATTTGACATCGAGGGTACTAACAAAGCCAAATGTGGGCAAGACGGTGTCAATGTTCAGCACAGATGTGTGTGCGTGTGTGCATGCCTCAGTGTGTGTGTGTGTGTGTGTGTGTGTGTGGAGCTCCCGCTTTCGCAATGCCTCTCCTGCGTCCGCGGTGCTGTAACACAATGTAAAATCACACAATGGGACAGCAACATTACGCTGTTGCAGATGCAATGTTTAAGTAAAAAAAAACGTAATGAAGGCAGAACTTTGTTAAGGCGCTGTTGTGCACTCGCAATATAACGTGGCCTGAAAAAGGGCATCAGATTTCCCTGAATTGCCTTTCACACATGCACCTCACAGAGAGAGATTGTCTGTTGGATATTTTGATACATCTCGAAATATTCTGTTTTGTAAGCGGAAGGGGCAGGAGGAGGATGACTGTTTCTTTGTTCTCACGAAAACATATTCAAAAATGTTCCACGATAGAAACACAACAGGTAACTAAGGTGATCCGTACATGAACAACGTCATCACCCCACTCACCAATTCCAGACTATTACCTGCAGAGTTCACACATCAGCTGTGGCTTACATTTTCAGGAGTATAGTGCATTTGTGAATGGGCTAATAGACTGTCGGATGAGCTGTAGTCCTGGTTTTTGGACTTCACTTTTGGTGCCTTGCGTTTAGTGTTTTGGCTGTCATTGTGTTTTGGAGCCAGATGTGACCATATTTAGACCAAAGGATTTATACACAAGAGGAGGTAAGGCTCATTGTCTCTTTAAGGCCAAGGTGACCCCAGGCAGATGGGTAGTGGCACCCACCTCTGTTTTGCCCTAAATCTTGCATAATTGTAAGCCTTAATATGACAGTAACAAACAAAATGGCCATTTGTGTTCAAATCAAAGCTGAAACCAAACCACTGAGCTTTAAACTTGTTTATTTCTGCAGTATATTTACATGGAGCTTCATAGGAATTGACCTTTTGAACTATCCTCAAGAGGCCATTGGGGGAACTTCATTTTTTCCCCCCTCTGTTTTCGTCAGCCCAAGATGATTTTAAGCCAAAGAGCTAGACACACTGGACTTAGTCAGACCCATGTTTCCTATCATGGTCTAGTGGCACAAACTGACAAAAAAAAAAGAATAATAATAAAAAAATTTTCCTAGCAGTCTTGTGCCAGGCCAGAGAGTTTAGCGTACGTTGAGAGTAGTATCTTGTTTTGATATGTTCTTGAGCCTGACTCAAGACTTTGTGTTTTTATTTGGTATTTATCAGCCCTAGTAGTATTTTATTCCAGTCAAATAACCTGTAACTGTTAAATTATTCCAGAAGTCTAACATTCAACTGAATACAGCTCGGCAGATTAACACAGTTTTTCAGTCAGCAGTGTTTTATTAAAGTAAAATGCTCTAAGGTTTGGTCCAAAAATCTTACATCAACATCTGTCTGAAGTCTGAGCCTCTGCTAGCTCTTAGCTTAGGTCAGGTCTTTTCTTCAGTCCGGGTCTGTACCTGTTTGACTTCTAACAAATTCTCCCTTTTGTTAGTGAGTTTGGTTTTAAGATTTAAAAAAAAGTAGAGCGCAAAGATCATAAACAACCAGACAGCTATGTTGGTGTGCGAGTAAGTGAATAAAAATGGGCTTGGTGGAGGTGTTGATGAGCTGATAATTAGCTGTACATGTGAGAGTACGAGTGAGACACTCGGTAATTACGACTACGGTATGTTTAAAATAGTTTCATTAAAATAGTCCTTTTGTTCAGACCTTGTTACACGTTCTGAAAAAGCTACTGAAGATGCCAAGATATGTTGTCTAATTGTTTGTCTCTCGGTATGCATTGAGTATGCATTGATCATCACTCAAAATAGTTTTTTTTCCCCCATTTGTATGATACGTCTTTGTCTTTCTTTGTTGGTATTAAATTGGGTCAGAATGCAGAAAATAGTTGTCTGAATAATGCATGAAGAAAGGCGTGTGTATATTCTAGCAGATACGGACTGATGCCTGTTTGTTTTTGTCTATTTAACAAAAAATATATTTTATTATCCTAACCTTGTCAATGAGCAAGGCGTTTTGTCAAAATGTCTCATAGATATTAAAATCATCAACAAAATTCCTAAAGATTTTACCCCAAAACAAATACTATGAGAAAAGACTCAGAGTATCAAGATTAGTGCCTTATAATTCTGTTTATATGTGT